AGTGGAAACCGGCCATCCTTTTTCCCTAGCTACTCCTGTCATTGCTCAATGGGCTCATGAATAGAGTGACCATGGTGGCATGGATGGAGGTTATGCATGGGCTCAGCAACATGGACTCCCACTTACCAAGGCTGATTTGGCTACTGCCACTGCTGAGTGCCCAATCTCCCAACAGCAGAGACCAACACTGAGTCTGCGATATGGATCTATTCCTGGGGGTGATCAGCCAGCAACTGGTAGCAGTTGGTTACATTGGACCACTTCCATCATGGAAAGAAGAGCATTTTATTCTTATTGGAATAGATACTTATTCTGGGTATGGATTCGCCTTCCCTGCACACAATGCTTCTGCCAAAACTACCATCCGTAGACTTACAGAATGCCTTATCCACTGTCATGGTATCCCACACAGCATTGCTTCGGATCAAGGGACTCATTTCACAGCAAATGAAGTGTGGCAATGGGCTTATGCTCATGAAATTCACTGATCTCACCATGTTCCCCATCATCCTGAAGCAGCTGACTTGATAGAACGATAGAATGGCCTCCTGGAAACACAATTACGGCACCAGTTAGGTGGTAATACCTTGAAGGGTTGGGACATTGTTCTCCAGGGGGCTGTGTATGCTCTAAATTAGCATCCAATATATGGTTCTGTTTCTATTATAGCCAGGATTTATGGGTCCAGGAACCAAGGGATGGAAATGGAAGTGGTACCATTCACTATTATCCCTAGTGACCCACTCAAAAAAAATTTGCTTCCTATCCCTGCTACCCTATGCTCTGCAGGTTTGGAGATCTTAGTCCCAAAGGGAGGAACACTCCTGCCTGGAAACACAATACAGATTGCATTGAACTGAAAATTAAGAATGCCACCTGGCCATTTTGGCTTCCTCATGCCTCTGGATCAACAGACAAAGAAGGGCATTACTGTACTGTCTGGTGTGATAGATCCTGATTACCAAGGGGAAATTGGATTGGCTTTACATAATGGAGGTAAAGAAGAGTATGTCTGGAATACAGGAGATTCTTTAGG